CTTCATGTTTCCACTCTCATACCTCTACCACCACCCTCTCTCCTACACAGATGCCTCCCCATTCCACTTGAGCTTGACACCCTTTCCTGGGGGTTTCAATGCTGAGGGGTACTATTCACCCTTCTGGGACCTGACACCCAATACTGGGTCACACCCCTTCATAGACGCCCTCTTCACCCAGGTGGGGCATTTTATTTAACAAGAACCCTTGGCCTTAATGGAATCTTACATCTTTTTTATTCTTAAAACAACAATATTTTTATAGGGCTTTGCTATGAGTGTCAGAGCTCAAGAGGCCATTTTACTGACAAAATGATTGTCAGGTCGTCGGAGATTGTGCTCGATAACCAGTGTAAATTTTCATAGAGAAAAATAAGATAGTAGAAATCCATCAAAATATTTCAGTAATTTTACTGACTGTGAACGTTAAACTCTACTGTTAATAGACATTTTCAAGTTGTGTTTTTAAAAAGATCATCTGTAATCTGCTTACAAGAGACATAAAGGAAAAAATTGAGGGATTTTGAAAATAAAAGAAGGAAAAAGCATAAACCAGAATAATACTGACTAAATGGAAGCTGATATGAAATAAAAATAATATCATTTGTAATGGTACCAAGAGACATGAAGTATTTATGTAAAAATCTAGCAAAATATGGATAGGATTTGTATCCAGAGAACTACAAAATAAAGATGAAAGAAATCCTTAAAATTAAATAAATGGGGAAATAGTGTTTAGGCATTGGAAGATTAGATATTGTTAAGATGTCAGTTCTTCCCCAGACTGACACTTATATTCAATACATTGCTAATCAAAATCCCAGAAGAAATTTTTGTAGAATAGACAAACTGATTCTAAAACTTATATTTAAAGCCAAGAAACAAGAATACGTTAAAAAAAAAAGACAAATGTATATGATTCCACTCAAATGTGAGGTACTTAGAATAATCAGATTCATAGAATCAGGAAGTAGAATAGTGGATACCAGGGGCTGGGGGAGTGGGAGACGGGGAGTTGTTGTTTAATGGGTACAGAGTTTCAGTTGGAAAAGATGAAAAAGTTATGGAGATGGACCGTAGAGATTGCACAACAATATGAATGTACTTAATACCACTGAACTATACAACTAAAAATGGCTAAAATGGCAAATTTTGTTAAGTATATTTTATCATAATAAAAATCTTTTTAAAACAGTTTTGACGGGCGCCTGGGTGGCTCAGTCGTTAAGCATCTGCCTTTGGCTCAGGTCATGATCCCAGGGTCCTGGGATCAGGTCCCACATCAGGCTCCCTGCTTGGCGGGAAGCCTGCTTCTCCCTCTCCCACTCCCCCCTGCTTGTGTTCCCTCTCTCGCTGTGTCTCTCTCTGTCAAATAAATGAATAAAATCTTTTAAAAAAATAAAAATAAAACAGTTTTGAAGAAGACAAAATTAGTAAACTCACACTATGTGATTTCAAGCCTTTACTTTAAAGTTGGAGTAATCAGTACAGTGTAGTAAGTATAGATACATGGTCCATAGAACAGAATAGAGAATCCAGAAATACAACCACACATGGTTAATTAATTTTTGATAAAAGCACAAAACTAATTCAGTGGAAAGTGGATAGAATTTTTTTCACTATATTGTGCTGAAATAATTGGATATCCGTATGCAAAATAATCTTTATCCATACCTCACACCATACATAAAAGTTAACTAAAAATTGGTCAGAGACCTAAGTGTATATTCTAAAACTATAAAAATTCTAGGAGAAAATATGTCTCTGGTTTAGGTAAAGCTGTCATATAAAATATCAAAAGCATAACCACAAAAGACAAAATTGATAAACTTCTTGAAAATTAAAAACTTTTGCTCTTCAAAAGACACAGTTAAAGAAATTAAAAAAAAAACACACACTGAGTGAAAATATTTGCAAATTACATATCAACAAAGATTTGTATCCGGAATATATAAAGAACCCTAAATCATCAATAATAATGAAAGAAACAGTGAGTAGAAAAAAATTAAACAGGTATTTTACCAAAGAAGAGATGTGGATAGCAAAAAGCACATTGAAAAACGTTTGACATCATTAGTCATTAGGAAAATACAAATTAAAACCACAATATGATACCATCATATACCTATTAGAATGGGAAAAAATACTGACAATACTAAGTGTTGACAAGAATACAGTGCAACCAGCACACTCATATATTGCTTATGGGAATGCAAAATGGTACAACCACCTTGGAAAACAGTTTGGCATTTTATTTCTTATAAGGTTAACCATAAACCTACCATACAACCCAGCAATCCCATTACTAGGCATTTTTTCAACAGAAATGATAATTATGTTCACACAGAAGCCTTTTTCTATAATCATCAAAACAACCTAAAAGTCCTTCAACTGACAGATGGATAAACAAATTGTGATATATTCATCCAAGGGAATACTACTCATCTCTAAAAAGAAACAAACTGCTGATATGCACAAGAGCATGGATGAATGTCAAATACATTATTCTAGTGAAAGAGGGCAGTCTGAAAAGTCTACATACTGTATGATTCCATTTATATGACATTCTACAAGAGGGAAAATATTGATACAGAAAGCAGTGTTTGCCAAGGAATGGGAGTGTGGGGGTGGGGAGTGACTGCAGGGAGGCATGTTTTGTGGTCTCTAGAACTTTTCTATATCTTCACTGTGTTGGTGTTTTGTACTTTGTGAAAACTTGCAAAAATGTTCATTAAAAAAGGTAAATTTTATTATTTGTGAATTATGCCTCCACATACCTGACTAAAAAAAAAAAAGTAGACAAATAGGTGTATTCTTTTGTTTTAAGGCACTGAGGAGTGACTGGTTGTTTGTAGAGATTTGTAATTCATTTTATTGAAACTGTAGACTATTACAGGTGAAAGGAAGCTTGGGTCACCTCATGTCAATTTCCTTATTTTTCAAGGAGACGAATAGCCAGAGGAGGAAATGACACATGACAAGGAACAATGAGCTTTTGCAATCTGACTATGTAAATTAGTACTTCAGAGGCTGGAGTTAGCATTACTTTTTTATTGGTGTTTTCTTCCCTGGTATAGCAAAATAGAGTCCAGAAAAACTCCTGCATGTGTTTCACTGAACCCAGAAATTGAGCAGCAGATTTTCAGATTCGAATATATAATCTTGAAACTTCACTTTGGTTAACTCTAGGACAAAAAATTCCTGATGGAATTGTTTGCTAAAAACTGGTTTATTATCCACACATAATGGAGTTCGTAATATTGCTAATGTTGGCTTAATTTCATAAACTGTGCCTTTGAGTTGCATGGTTAGATTTTGTGAGAAACTGTAGAACAGTAGCTGTCAACCTTTTAGATTTTGAGCCCTTTCTTTAAACCAAGCTACACACTGAATCACACGTGTCAGAGAGACTCAGGAGAGCTTCCCTGCCGGTGGTGGGGGTTGACTCAAGCCCAGCAGCACTGAGGGACTTCCATTAAGCACAGGGCAAACTCCACTGCTTCCACACCGAGTTTGGGAAGAGGACCATAATGGTGGTTCACAGACAGATAACCGGGCATAGTAATTCAGATTGAATCTGGTTCTTGTCAGTGGGGCTTATCAACCAGTGGAGTTCTTCAAAAGAGAAGTCTATGACATCAGTTCAGAGTAATGTATCTCTGTCCTGGAAATCATCTGTCACTGGAAAAAGTTGTCCTTAATGTTTTTGTTTCATTTTCCTGACCATTCTGCTCTCCCTTTCTTAAATCTACCTCTATCCTGGGGGAAGAGAAGAAAGATCAGAATTCAATTTGTTGTATTTAGGTGCTCCCAGGACATTCAAAAAGGAAGGAAAGATAGACAATCATATATATATATATGTGGGTCTGGAGCTCGGAAGAGAGAATGTAAACTGCAAATAAACAGGTGAGAATTTCCACACTGAGATGGTAACGGAAGCTGAGGGCAGGGCCAGGGAGGGATCACAGGAGAGAGCCCGACTGAGCTTGAGGCCAGAGTCAAAGGCTGGGTAGATGACGATGAATGTGTATGGAGGTCAAGGAGAAAAGCTAGGAGAGCGCGGTATCCCGGAAACTGAGTTAGGATAGTGTTCCAAAAAGAAAGAGGTCTGGTGCTGAACGCTGCTGAGAAAGCAAAGGAAATGAAGCTTTAAAATGTCTACAAGAGGGGTGCCTGGGTGGCTCAGTCGTTAAGCGACTGCCTTCGGCTCAGGTCATGATCCTGGAGTCCTGGGATCGAGTCCCGCATCAGGCTCCCTGCTCAGCAGGGAGTCTGCTTCTCCCTCTGACCCTCTTCCCTCTCGTGCTCTCTATCTCTCATTCTCTCTCTCTCTCTCAAATAAATAAATAAAATCTTAAAAAAAAAAAAATAAAATGTCTACAAGATTTAACAGCATGATGGTCACTGGTAATCTCCAGAATTAAGTCTTCTATCCTTCTATCCAGTAATTTTTCATGACTGAAACTTCCTTGAGAACTGACACCTTGAATAGGGTTTCGCATCCTCCTATATTGCTTTTCACTTAAGAACTGGCCAATAAACAGTTGCTATATTGTAAACTTGCCGGATACAGTTGAAGCCTTTAAGGTACGGTGCGGGTGGGAGAGAGAGAACTGTTCTGTACCTTGTGGACCATTGTTAAAACTCATAGAACTGGACACCTCAAAACAGTCTGTTTTATTGCATCTTAATTTTTAAAAATGTTTTAAATAGTCGTGGTAAGAACCTTTTTCTTACATCGTGGTGGGCTCTTGGGGGTTTATTATAAATTGACTCTTTAAATCTTGTATGTCGTTCCTAAATAGTCCTTTGTATTACACAAAAGTTAATGAAATACTGACAATTGAGTAAAAACTAAAGTTTGAAATAGAATATTTAAGAGAAATACAGAAAAATGCCAATAGAAAACTTATGAAAATGCGTCTGTAATCTTAGTTGATCCTAAAAGAAAGGAAAAAGAAAGCTATAACAAAATCTCTATTGTCTCATCTTTTTACCAGACGGGAATGGGTCACTTGCGTGTTACAAAAGATGGTCTTCGCCTAGAAGGAGAATCAGAATTTTTATTCCCATTGTATGCCAAGGAAATACACTCCAGAGTGGTAAGAAAATGATGAAGCATTTAAATATTTTGTGTTTTATGAAAAGTAAATAATCATTAAGCACAGAAACTTAACATATTTCAGAAGAGGTTCTTAAATGTATACATACACACATTGATGTTACACTCTATAAAAAGCTTGGCTAGAAGGTTGTAAAACATATTTCTGCTATTACATTCTAAAAGGATTCCATTTTCATGTGCTTTAGATCTGAATTTGGTGGCCTCAGTCATTTAGACCATAATAAAAAAGGTTTGGTAATTAAAACCTTTATCAAAAATAATCTAAACTTCTTTTAGTGCAGGTAATTTGAATACACTCTTTCAAAGCATTTAAAATTATCTGAGAAGCTTAGAAGGAAATTAGTTTCATAGTAGTATGTTCTGTACTAATTATGCTAATTATAGATTATGGTCCTGTAGGATTCTCGGTAAATAGATTAAACATTCTCATTAAATAATTTTGTGACTTTATAAACAAATCTGTTTCAATATTATCTTCATTTACCTCCACAGAATTTATAACAGGTAGAGCCAAGCATAAAATATAGTCCATTTTTGTAATACGTTCTATTTTGCTTTCAGTGATGCTATGGACTTTGTAGTAAAGATAAACATTTGGCAAATTATTGATTAGGTGGCATTATCCCAACAAAATGTTAAACTTCATCCAACAACTTGCCAATTGTATGAAGAGTGCACTCTTCATTTTCCTGTCATATTTCTATATATGAAAGGATATGTCAGTATCTCCTACATGTAGAGGCTCTTCCAGCTACTCTAGGGCAATTGGGAAGGACACAAAAGTCTAACCACTGAGAACACATGTGGTCTTCGAGATAAACCACACCCCTACATGGACATCAGAACAATCACCAAGCTCTACTATCAAATATGGACTGCGGAGGTGAGATTCTAGAAGGTGCAAAGCACATACGTAGCTCTTAGACACTACTCTATTACTTCTGAGAATGTCTCAGTTGAGAGTAGAAGCAGGCAAATGATGTGGAATGTGACAGGCTGATACATGCATAAACCCGATTCTATGAGCTTCTTCGGATAATACGCTTACATTAATCGTGATGGCATTTAAATATATTAAATACCCCTGTCATATGGGAACATGGGGAATGAACCTAAGCTTTTGTAAAAGGGGAGGTCAGATCTGAGCAAATAATTTAAATATTAGAACTTGGCCATCTTTCCTCCCAGAGTTATGTTGGCTGATCCCCTATCATATTTTTGAAGAGATAAGACTGGTAGAATAACCTGGTGACTGAAACCAGGTGACTGGTTCATAACAAATTTACTCTTCTGGATTTAATAATACTTTTAGTTATACTTATCAGATGTTTTTCATCTCTGGTATAGTTTTAAAAAACAGCAAAATTGTGTAAATTATTTTAGATAATCATTTTTAAAGTTTTACAATGATGGATTGATGAAATATGTCAATTGATACATAAAATTACAGAAACATTTGGAATAATAATTTGTGATCACAGAAATAGAAAGTATCTGATAACTAATATGGCTTTCCAATAATAGGATTAACTGAACAAAATTATGTTTTATATTTTCTGTATACACGGATATATTAGTTACATTTGCTTTTCAAAGATGAGTTCAGGAAGTAATTTTCCATAAAACTACAGAAATGAATTTGCAAAATTTGACATATATTCATTTATCTATATTGCTGAGGTGAGAGAATTTATTATAAATATAATTCAACATGGTATTCTGGCTTCTAACATGTGATTACTCTTCACATTTCATACATGAAGTCCTGTCAAGATCCTGCCTGGAGCTCATGATTTAAAACCATCCACCCTGCCCATTGACCTAAACACGTAGCAATTATATTCGATAAAACCAAAAGGCTGTATTTAGAAACATATAGAGATAGCCAAAAATGAAATGAAGCCCAAACACACAGTGGTAAAACTTTACTTGAAATGATTGTCTTTGAAGTTCACAATCCTGGAAAGCAGCAGAGGTAGCTTACCATCAAAGCCCACAGAGGAATAGAGACCAAAATGGCACCTGATGAGACTGCTTGGGACTCCAGCCAGACCTCCTGCATGAGACAGCAGTGAAAGGCAAAAAAGGCTTGCACCTACTGCTCAGGCTTGAATAAAACTGTATATCTGTGAAATGGAGCCCATAAAGGAGCCCATAAAAATGCCAGACAAAGCCCCGAATGTCACTGAGGACACAAGCCCTGAGCCACCATTATAAGACTGAGAAACATGGCGGTCTGAATGAAAACAATGGTAAAGCCTTTAGACAGGCTGGTTGAGTCCAGAAATTAAAATATATTCACACAGGGAGCTTGAGACTGAAATTTGCAACCACATAAGGAAAACTCCATCTAAATAAAGGATACCAAATAGACTCTCTAAAAAAGAGAATTAACTTCCAATTAAGTAAAAATAATCATTCTGAAAATGACTGGAAAAGCACACTTAAGAATCTCACAGAGATAAAGCTATTTTTGAGTGGCTTTTATTAAAAGAATAAGAAATTATAAAATCAAAACGGGTAAAACAAGACAGAAATAATAGGGAACAGATTTACCCACTTTTATTAAGCAACTAAAAAAACCTTGACAAAGTATATGAAACAATGGTTTTTGTTATGGTCTGGAAGTCACCTGTTGAAACCTAACCCCTAAGGTGATGGTACTAGGAGGTGGGGCTTTGGAGAGATGAGGTCATGAGGACGGAGCCCTCATGATGGAATTAGTGCCCTTATCAGAGCACCCTGAGAGAGCTCTGTGAGCTGGAAGGCACCTTCCAGCTGAAGGCACCTTCCGTGAACCAGAAAGTGACTTTCGCAGGACACCAAATCTGCCAGCACCATGATCTTGGACTTCCCAGTCTCCAGAACTGTGAGAAAGAAATCTTCGTTGTTTATAAGTTATCCAGTCTCTGGTATTTTGTCATAGCGCCAAAATGAAGTAGGATGGTTTTCAAATATTGGACAGTGGCAGTCAGGACAGTTATCTCTGAGAAAGGGAACAAAAGAGATGAGCCCTAGGACTGCCCCAGTTTACTGCCTGGAGAGAGTTTCTAAGGCCACAGTGAGGGAGGGGACCGGTGCAGAGGCAGGCATTCTCCCCAAGTTGAGAAGATACGGTTGGGAGTCCAAGGAAAAGCAGTCAACCTGAAGTTCACAGGGCAGAGTACCATGCAGGAGGGGGCTGCCGCCACTGAGAGAGCCCAGAGATTGCACAGAGTGCCCCCCTTCACCACCCTGCACACCGAGGCTAGAGGGAAGAAATTGGTAAACTGTTAATTCTTATTGTCATGCTAGTTATTTTTGAACAGTGCAAAAACAAGGATTAAGGTCACATCATTGGATAAAATGTGAGATGCTGATAGATCCATCTGCTTCCACAAAGCAATTTGGAGAATTTCGGACGTACCAGAGTTCAAAGGCACTCCTGAAACTTCTTTCCTTCTGAAAAATCACATTATTCCCTGCAGCTTCGGAAGATACTTGGTTCCCTCTGAATGGACCATAAACCCACCTGAATCCAACAGCCAAATTGTTGCATTCTTTTTGAAGAAAATTGTTTATATAAAAACAAACGATCTATAAAACAAAACCACCCATTCAGAGCTATGATACCACAGAAGGCACTTATGTGCACATACAGCCCTCTTATCTTTCAACAAAAAATTCAAAAAACATAGGCATCTGACAAATTTTAAAAGCTCTTTTGAAATTGTGAAAAGACTTTACATTTTGAAAATAAGTAACATGGTATTTATTGTAGAAGAACTAACCATTCTCTGATTTATATTCCAAAAATATGTCTTGGACATAAATAATAAGAAATGAAATTTTAATTCCTTGGAATAGAAAAAACACTGATTAAAACTTGATGATTTTAGATCTTCACCCTGAGAACTAATTTGGTACATTGTGGCCAGTGCACACAAGCAGCAGAAACCCATACGAGTATTATAATTTATGAAAAAAAAAAGGACATCTACAGCAGCAAGGAAATGAATTTTGCCACCAACCACATGAGCATAAAAGAAGACCCTGTGCCTGGAATGAATCCTCAGCGCTGCAGTCCCCTTGAAATGCTGAACAGGGAACCACTGGTAGATTCTGCCTGGACTCCTAGCCCATAAAAACTATGATATAATAAATATGTGTTGTTTTAAACTTTGGGAAAAAAGTACATTTATTTACTCTTTTAACATAATATAGTCCAGAATTTGAAAATACTGTGTAGGGTCACAGGATATGTGACTATGGAGAAATTATCTCCTATAAATCCTAAATTTATGTATGAATATAAAGATAGTCATTTTAAATAATGTACTTTTTTTGTCAAATTTTGTAAATGCTTTTCTAGGACTCATCTCTGCTTCTGCAGTCAACTCAGAATGTGACTGTCAACGCACGCAACTCTGAAGGAGAGGTCACAGGCAGATTAAAAGTGGGTGAGTCGGACTTCACTGTGCTTGGCCTGTGAGTGGTCCATGGAGAGCTGTGCTGAATGGATACATTTTTCTCTTCTAAAGAATTCAAAGTTACTTATGAACAATTAAAGCATGAATTTTGGGGGTGCCTGGGTGGCTCAGTTGGTTAAGCAACTGCCTTTAGCTCAGGTCATGGTTCCAGGGTCCTGGGATCAAGCCCCGCATTGGGCTCCCCGCTCAGCGGGAAGCCTGCTTCTCCCTCTCCCACTCCCCCTGCTTGTGTTCCCTCTCTCACTGTCTCTCTCTTTCTGTCAAATAAATAAATAAAATCTTTAAAGCATGAATTTTCTAAATATCATGCTGTGTTGACCACAGAGAATAATTGGCATCACAGGGGAGACAGTCTGAAGTATTTTAAGTAACGTTATTTTGATTCTAAGAAATAGAGGACCATGTATTTAACCAACTGCCCTTGACACCCATCCAACCAGCTAAAACCAGAGAGTAGGCTCACCCAGGAGTGAGATCACATGGAATCTCACACAGTGATAAAAAGTGTTAGAGAGATAGATGGAAGAAATGACAAAAGAGCAAACCACCCAGTGAAAGGAATATGTACACATTCTCTATACTATCACCAGTCTATAGATGTGCCAAATCTAAGAAATTAGGTGGACCTTTGTGTCCAGCCAGTACAGACTGGTAACTTTCAGTGTCTCTTTTTTAATGACTGTTTTTACAAAACAGAATAATGTTACATGGGCAACGGCAGCCACATAATTAGCCTGATGATTCCTTTTTATCATGCTAATACAGGAGTTCTATATTTTATGTTCTTCTTGAATCTTTGTAACTTGTTCTAAATAATGGATCATATTTCTCTTTTGCTTAAAAGTTTGATCACTAAGTCCAGTGAAATTCTCAGTGGACCTAGAAGACAAATCTGAGTTTATCCAGCATACATGTTCTTGAAACTTGTCTAAATCAAATCATATTTTCTTGATGAATTATGTAGTATTATGATTTATCTTTTACCATTTTTTCATAAAATTCTTTGATTGTAGCTTTTAAGAGTTTGAGGGATCTTTGCTCATCTTTTGTCATTTGTTCAACATTTATTGGATGCCTATGTGCTACTTTTTAGATGCTGTCAAGTAAGTAATAATATATAAATAATATGCACATCTCTCTTAGGAGCGCCAAAAGTAAAAGATTCCCTTTGTATTCTTTATATTCTTATAAAAATGATTTAATACAAATATGTCCTAATTTAATATTTTGTTGAATGTGGATTTTCATATATCATACAACAGAGTTACATAATATAAATCTGTCTCCAATTGCATGAGTGAAAAAACTGAAGCACCGGAAACCTCATTTGCTTAAGAACACACTATACAGCAGAAAAAGCCAAACCAGGAGGTAGTAGAAATTAGCAGTTAGCAGGAATTCATAGTTAGCAGGAAAAACAAACCCCGGACCTTATTTCCTTCAGCCCAGAGTATAGCACTCCCTCTCTCCAATCAGATTTCCTTAAATTATGGCACACCAGTAACCACCCTAGTTCCTGCAAATATGGTTACCATTTTTGTCACCAACAAATGTACTTAAAAAACAAAAATACAAAAAACTTTCCTATTAGAATTACTTTGGTTTAAATTGTTAGTCTTAAATCTTGAGTTTTAACCTTGGTGTTTCATGCTTGATATAGTGTTAAAGTTGGTGATTTCTTAATAAACTTTGGTTGGAAAACCTCTGTTATATTAGGGACCCTGAAACAGGGAATATGCCTCAGCTCACCAGGGTTATTTTCAAGTAAATGATTTCCCACAGTCACAGTCATTCCAGCCTCATATTTCCTGGAAGATGCTAAATTTAGCCAACCTGTATATTAAAATGTAATTTATGTGAACTAGCCAAATTAATCCCACTTAATTAATGAATAATTATTTATTACTAAACCCCTGAAAAAAATGGCAATCAGTACAGTCAAAACCAAAAGTCTTAAATCCCAAAAGAAATCAAACATTGACAAGCAAGCAATAATAGCTAGCATTTCAAATCCTTGAACTGAAAGATATCAGCTCATAGCAACAATAATGGAATCTTCCTAATCATAACTGCAGCTCTGGTTACCATAGCTACTTTTCCTTTGATTTTGAATAACAGAAATGAATTCTGGTTGGCTTAAAAAGAAGACACCGCCAGAAGTTTGCAAGCTGCACTCAGATGGGCTGGTTGGGTTTGGAGCTGGGTTTTCTGAGATCATAGCCTGGCTGTAGCCAGTGTATCCTGTGGAAGCACCAGTTTTCCACCAACTGGCAGTAGGTGCAGAAGTTGATCAAGCAGGACCCCTGGCCTCCACCTTGAGAGATTTCTATAGCATTATAGTCACTACCAATCCAAGTGGAGCTTTTCAAATTACAACCAAATAAACCCAGTGGGGAAGCTGGTAATGTTTATGGCACCATTTGGTCACTGCCACCCAGACGTCGAAGTCATTTTTCTGGATGCTAAAAGATACCCTCTGCTACAATCAAACTGTCTTAGATCCAGGTCTTCGAATAGCAAAGCGGAGAGGTAAGAATCTCATCAATCCATAAAGTTTGTTAGGGCTCTTGGAACTTCTGCATTGCCATGATAAGCTTCTGCAAAAGATTTTATATACTCAGAACATGACTAATATAAAGAATAGAAATGTAAAATATAAAGAATATAAAATGAATATACTCAGAACATGACTAATACAAAGAATATAAATAAAAAGAAGGTGAATATAGCATTGCAGAATGTCATGCACGCTCTATTATGAGACAGCAGTGCACCTGCAGCCAAGCTGTCTTTGGTTGTAATGACTGAACTCGGCAGAAGAAACGTTAGAAATGAGGCCAAAAATACCAGCGTTATCCCAGCTGCATGTTTCTCTGAAGTCACCAAGATGATACTGCTTTGAAATCCTTCCTAGAGAAACAGGAAAAAGGGGGCGGTGACTCAGAATCTGAAGAAGAAAGACTGTCTAGTGCAGTGTGCTGCAGGAAAGAGAAGCTCCGAACACAGGGTTGCAACAGGCTGTGAATGTAAGAGTGTAGTTAAGAGCCAAAAGTGGAACAATAACTGAGGCATTTGACTTTTCAGCTGTTCACTTGATTAATGATTCCCCAGGGTTCAGCAAATAAATTACTAAAGCATGCAGCATGCTCTGAGAAGAGGTTTGAAATGAGGGTGATGCTTAGGGACCTTATCTCCAGATTGGTGGGAATTCATGGGCTTTTTCTCTTTAACTTTGATCCTTTGGTGCAGAGGTTTCTGCAGCCCCTTCAAAGAGAAATAACCGAGAGTCTTCTGTTTGCTGCACAAGCACAGCATCATCATCATTGCTCAAAACTGAGACCAGCCATTTTGTAATTGACAAAAAGTCCAGGGAAGTCATGACAGTAATAAGCAATGCTATCACAGATAGCAGCTCAATGTCCTCTGGCTGAGACCCCTCCAAGATCTGGCCCAGTGTAGAACACACAAAGAGAAGACTGTGATGACATCTTCTAGAACTTTGATTCAGCTCTTCTGATCACCATATCCTTTGATGTTGCAGAAGAAATTCTGGGGTGAGCCTACAGAGGTCTTGAGAGAAGCAAGAGTGCAAAGGGGTGCCTGGGTTGGCTCAGTTGGTTGAGCATCCAACTCTTGATTTTGGCTCAGGTCATGGTTTCAGAGTCATGAGATCCAGTCCTACATCAGGCTCCACATTCAGCAAGGAGTCTGCTTGAGATTTTTCTCCTTCTCCCTCTCCCTCTGCCACTCATATGCTCTCGCTCACTCTCTCTAAAATAAATAAATCTTAAAAAAAGAAGAAGAAGAAGCAAGAGTTCAACAATATGGAGAATTCAATGCTAGATTGCATCTTGGCAGCAGACATTCTAGAATTGAAAAAGAGGAAGAGAATGACAAAGATGGGTGGGAAAGTACCAGTCTTAGGAAGAGGAGGATGCTGATGGTAAATGGGTTGACATGTACCACTCTTCCCTGAGGAACAGCAAGTACTTGCCAAGAATCTGACCAGCATGCTCACAGAGGAGTGGAAAGCCAAAACTGCTGCCCTCAGACCAAGACATGGCAAAATCTCACAGAAGTACATATATACACTCCTGTTGACCAAGTAATCCCACTTCTAGGGATCGACGCTGAAGATACCACCCCAACCAAACAAAATACATGCATAAAGGTTATTCTTGGTGGCAGTATTTCTAATTGCAAAGCATTGGAAGCCACTTACATATCCATATGTCTGGGTGAATGGCTGGATAACCACAGTACATCCACGTGACAGAGAACCCTGCATCTGTAAAAAAGGATGAGGAAGATATCTAAGAATTTATATGGAATAACTTCCCGGATGTATTTGTAAGCAATAGAAGTAAAGTGCAGAAGAGTATCTATTGTATGCCACCCTTCATGGAAGAAAGAAAGGGATATAAGAAAACATATGTGTGTTTACTTATTTGTAGGCAAAAGAAGGAGAAACCTGAAATGCAGAGACTGGCTCCTTTCTGGGTATGCATGGGAAGGGGGTGGGGGATGAGTCTGAAGTAGAAGGGATGAGGAGGAAGTCACATATCCAATTAAAGCTATCAAGGATTCTGTATGTCAGGAAAAACTTGGTTGTATTTGCACTCTCAAAAACCCTTAAGCCGATTTCACAAACATCAATTGGTCAGATGATGAAAACTTCCTTTATTTATTTCCTTCATTTTTCATTTCCTTCTTTGTACCAAAGCCTTTCATTAAAAATTTTACTTAACCAGATAGTTACTTTTATCACCAAGGTAGAATTTGAATTTTATTTCTTAAAGAACTCCACTGCAAAAGAGGATTATTTGCTTAGCTCTAATCACTGTTCAGCTAGGTCAATGAAAACTAGTAGAATATTAATAAAACTTAAAAGATTGATTAGAAACTTGGTTATTTTAAGAGACGATTATCTCTGTGATTATGGACTTGTCATCACTTGGAGAATAGTGTTTTCTGAAGTGAAAACATGTTTAAATTTAACATTCAACGTGTCTTTGTTTTTAATAAAACGAAGATGGAATTTTATTCACCTCTGTGCCTTTGCTCAAGTATTTCCCTCTACCAGGCGTACCTCATTCTCCCTTCATCAGGGGACCAGAAACTCTTTCTACAAGGTCAGCTCAGACACCATTTCCCAGGGTGCCATTCCTGACCCCCAAGGATAGATCAGGGATTCCCTGTCAGGCTTTCTCATTGAACGCTGCCTTCCTTGTATCATAGCACTTCCCAAATTGTCCTGGAACTAGGTTCATATGCTCTTTCTTCAGTGGACTGGGAACTCCTATAAGCTGTGAGCTACATCCCACAATTGTTTATCTATCCTCAATTCTTAGCCCAGAACCTTAAACATAAAAAAAAAAAATGCCATAAATTTGTGCTGAATGGTACAGACTCACTTTTTTGCATTGTCTTTTAAATTTATTTATTTTTTTAGTAATCTCTACACCCGACATGGGGCTCAAACTCATGACTCCGAGATCAAGTGTTGCATTTTTGCATTTTCTTTGACTTGAGTAAGGGTTTATATGACTACTTATATTGCTCCTCATGAAAATTATGCTCCTAAGCTCGTTGACTAGTTCATCACTGTATATGAACCAGTGGTTACAGAAAAGGTATCAGTCATGTAGTTGAACCCCTTTTACTGAATAATGCCTCCTAGAACTGTTATGTGAATCTCCAATAAGCTCAACAGTGAAGTCTTACTGGATAAATTATTCCAGGTTTTTTTTTCTCCTTGTCAATTTTAAATGCCCGTAACTTCATATTCGTCATGTAATATAAATATAAATAATGCAAAGCAGTATTTATATAATGACTATAGCAGTGACCCAGAAGAGGTGAATGGTGATGCTGAGTCCCTGAGTGACTGAGTCTGGGTAAAAGTGCGGAAGAGCAGAAATACAGGCAACTATCTAAAAAAATAAAGTCTGGCTTCCTTAAGGGAAAGAAGATTAAGACATAGAGGAAAAAATGAGTTCCACTTTATAACTGCCTCAAACACACATACAGACATATTTAAATGAAGAATCACTGAAGGCTTTTACAATACCAGTTAATGAGATAATGTAAGAATATGTTGGTGATCATATCCAAAACTGGTTAATGTATTCGTTGAAGAGCTTCTATTTAATTTCTGGTTAGGTATCCATCAACTTTAATGAGTACTGGGAGTGATAGAGGGACATACACGCAAAGACTCTAAGATAGCCATTTTCTCAATAAACTTACTCTCCTAAGCAATAAAGCTAACATACAAAAGAATTAGGGAACACGTGTAGTTCCTTGCACGAACGCTGAGAGCTATGTTCCAGAGAGATTAACCCATTATGCTGCCAGGGTTAGAAAGATTGGAAGCACAAAGATGAATTAGGAAACAAAATGGTGAACGCTTGAGAGCAGGCAAGGGAAATCGAACAAGGTCAGGTATGTTCTTGAGGGCACAGTATCCCCAGTGCCCAGCACATGGGAGCACCCACTAAATCTTTGCTGAGTAAATAATGAGTTGGTAGTCACAGAGTCCAAAGCTCATCTGATGAGATGAAACTTGGAGGAGAAAGTGATGCCTCTGTCACTAAAATATGAAGAAGGAAGGCGTGAAGGGGACAAAAATGCCATAGGGGAAGGAAGGACAGAAGCTTGAAGATGTTCTGCGATGATGTCTGTTTTCTCCAGGGGGTAAGAGGTGAGGACCTCTCCCGAGGATAAGGGCAGAGGAGGGAATCTGAGTATGATTCATTTTCTGGGTTGACTTTGGCCATTAAAGTGAGCCATTCATAAAATGGTCTTTCACAAATCTCATGTTTTCAGAATACAAAATCCTTAGTTGGGTAATACTCAAAAGATGACAAATTTAAATAATCTGGGTAGAAGAAATATGTTATTTTGGGCAAGTTGTAAACTTGAAAAAATTAACTTTTAGATGACTTATCTGTTCATATATTTGATCTAGATTAACATATTTTTTTGGTTTTGCTTTTTCAATTTTTTGTTTGAGTATAGTTGACACACAATGTTGCATTCATTTCAGGTGTACAACATAGTGATTCAGCATCTCTACACATTATGCTTTGTAGATTAGCACATATTTGACATAATTTTAATAATATAGATTTAGGCTTAGAACTTAAAAAGTTTAATCATAGAATTTAAAAGAACTATTGGTAACAGATTTTATATATTTAGTAATTTGGCAAGGGTGACATGATATGACATGTAAAAATAGAGATTTTGACACTACATATAGTAAACACTTCATAATAAAATGTTTTAATGAATTGTTCAGGTCCCAAAATGGTAGAGGTCCAGAGTCAACAGTTTCAGATCAACTCCAAGGATGGCAAGCCACTGTTTACTGTCGATGAAAAGGAAGTCGTGGTTGGTACAGATAAACTTCGAGTAACTGGTATGTGATAACTTTTTTTATTTATATTTTTTAAGAGTTGGTTACACTTTTTATTTATTTTTATTTTTTTACTTTAAATTTTTTATTGTTATGTTAATCACCGTACATTACATCATTAGTTTTTGATGTAGTGTTCCATGATTCATTGTTTGTGCATAACACCCAGTGCTCCACACAGAACGTGCCCTCTTTAATACCCATCACCAGGCTAACCCATCCCCCCACCCCCTTGCCCTCTAGAACCCCCACTTTGTTTTTCAGAATCCATCATCTCTCATGGTTCGTCTCCCCCTCCGATTTCCCCCCCTTCATTCTTCCCTTCCTGCTATCTTTTTTTTTTTCTTAAAATATATTGCATTATTTGTTTCAGAGGTACAGATCTGTGATTCAACAGTCTTGCACAATTCACAGCGCTCACCATAGAACATAACCTCCCCAATGTCTATCATCCAGCCACCCCATCCCTCCCACCCCACCCCCACTCCAGCAACCCTCAGTTTGTTTCCTGAGATTAAGAATTCCTCATATCAGTGAGGTCATATGATACATGTCTTTCTCTGATTGACTTATTTCACTCAGCATAACACCCTCCAGTTTCATCCACGTCGTTGCAAATGGCAAGATCTCATTCCTTTTGATGGCTGCATAATATTCCATTGTGTATATATACCACCTCTTCTTTATCCATTCGTCTGTCGATGGACATCTTGGCTCTTTCCACAGTTTGGCTATTGTGGACATTGCTGCTATAAACATCAGAGTGCATGTACCCCTTCAGATCCCTACATTTGTATCTTTGGGGTAAGGTTCCTCAAAAAGTTGAAAATAGAGCTACCATATGATCCAGCAATTGCACTACTGGGTATTTACCCCAAAGATAACTTTTTTTAAAATTGAGATATAATTAACATATAATATTAGACTCATTTCAGGTGTACAACATAATGATTTGATATCTGTATCTATTATGAAATGATCACCACAGTAAATCTAGTTAACATCCATCACCACACATAGTTACAAATTTTTTTCTTGTGAGGAGCACTTTTATTTTTTTTATTTTAATTGCAGTGTAGTTAATAGTAGTGTTATACTAGTTTCAAGATCTATTCTCTCAGCAACATACAAATATGCAATACACTATTGTTAACTATAGTCACCATACTTACATAACATCCCCAGGACTTAGTTATTTTATAACTAGAAGTTTGTACCCTTTGACCCCCTTTACCCATTTTGCCCATCCCCACCCCATGCCTCTGGCAACCACCAATCTCTTCTCTGTATCTATGAGTTTGGCTTCTTTTTTAGATTCTACATGTGAGATCACACAGCATTTATCTTTCTCTGACTTATTCCACTTAGCATAATGCCCTCATGGTCTATCCATAGTTGCAAATGGCAAGATTTCCTTCTTTTTTATGGCTGAGTAATATTCCATTGCATATAAATATCACATTTCCTTTATCCATTTATATGTACTAACTCTTAAGGAAAACAATATCCCATAGAATACATTTCTACAAAAGCATATTTTACTTTTGGCAAGTTTACTCTGGAATTTTTCAGGTAGGTAAGAAAAAGCAGTTTGAATTTGTTGACTCTTCTCCGTGGCATTTTTTTTAATTCTTTTTTTTTAAAGATTTTTATTTATTTGTCAGAAAGAGAGAGAGAGCGCAAGCAGGGGGAGCAGCAGAGGGAGAGGGAGAAGCAGGCTCCTCACTGAGCAAGGAGCCCGATGCGGGACTCGATCCCAGAACCCTGGGATCATGACCTCAGCCGAAGGCAGACACTTAACGACTGAACCACCCAGGCATCCCTTTTTTTAATTCTTGATACTCTCCTAGAAGAATGAAATCTTCCTCACAAATTTTTGATCATTCTTTTCTTCCACCATATTGTAACGCTTTATCTCTTTCCAGTTGGTGTAAACCGAAGACTTATCATAAATTCCTCTATCATCTGTATGATATTCTAATATCTCTTTCCCATATGCCTTTTGCAAAAGAATCTTCTTCCAACTTTCTTTTATTCCCATTGTATCAGGTACTTGGAATCCCTTTACTTCTATTAAAAACTTGTCTCTCTTGGAAATAAAGAGTGGGTGGGGTTCTGATAAAAATCACTTTTAGGACTGAAAAGAAGAAATTTTGGGGGGGAAATGTGCAGAACATGTTTGAAATGTACTTGCTGAGCTTCTGTCAAAACTATAAAACATTGGAAAGCAGATACTGGTTAAATTGATCCCAGTACTTTTCTGTACTGTGCAACTTTATTCTCTCACACATTATTACCAATACTCATAAATAAAAACTGGCTTAAGAAGTAGACTCAAGCCTCATACAAAGTTTTATGTAATATATAATTCTTAAAAATATATATAAGAATCATAACCCGTGTTGCAGTATACACTAAGGCAGTAGTGTGTGTGAATTTCTTACTAAAATAAAGGACTCTAGGAATCTATTTAAAGGAAATTGATCATTTCCTAATAAAGAAATGGCTAGGTTGCCCAAGAGTCTTGGTCATCAGAAATCTACTATTGCTCCATACAAAGCATATTGGCTTTCAGATTCTATTCCTATCTCAACAATTACTAGTCACATGACCTCAGACAAGTTCATCTCTTAGGCTGTTTCCCCACTTTTAAAAGTAGATTGATAATGTCTTCTATACTAGCATTGCTGAATTAAGTGGATTAATATATGCAGAGGGCAGCAGAGGTCTTGATAAAGTGTTATTGTACTGCAGGGCAATGAAATCTATAGGGAAAACAGTTTAAGAAATAGGACAGATTGCTTCAAACCCAAGCCATCCTACACTGGGCATCCCTTCAGTGAAACTTTTCTTATCCTAGGGCTCTTCCAGGTCTTGATGTTAATTTTAGTCAAACAGGTGAGAAAAATTGATAAGCAACTATAATATTTATTACCTGCATGTATGTATCAGAATCGCCCACATTTATGTATCAGAATCACCCATGTATCAGGGCTTGTCAAAATATATGTTGCTTGCGGGGCGCCTGGGTGGCTCAGTTGGTTAAGCGACTGCCTTCGGCTCAGGTCATGATCCTGGAGTCCCAGGATCGAGTCCCACATCGGGCTCCCTGCTCGGCGGGGAGTCTGCTTCTCCCTCTGACCCTCTTCCCTCTCGTGCTATCTCTCATTCTCTCTCTCTCAAATAAATAAATAAAATCTTTAAAATATATATATATATATGTTGCTTGGCTTCATCCCCAGAGTTTCTGATTCAGTAGCTCTGGAATGGGACATGAGAATCTGCATTTCTTATAAGTTCTCAGATGATACTGATGCTTCAGTGCTAGGGACCACAGGCTGAGAAACACTCCCTATGTTAACTTGTCCAGAATCAGTGGAAAAAAACAACATGTTGGTTCCATATAGCCGGTCCCCCGGCACACACACATTTCAATTAGTCTTTTTAAAGATAAGTTATATTCTTCTTTTCATATTTTATTTTGTCTGAGGTATAAATTTCTTCCAAACTCCTCTTCTCTCCAGTGAGACTAACTAGAGCAAATACACCGCACCTGTAATTACTGTATACTTTCCTTGTCATTATGCCATTATAACAATATGGAGTTTTTGTCACCAGGGCAACCTGAGTGGTGAGCGTATGAACAGTATAATTTTGATGCAGATCTTGACTCTTCTCAGTTTTTCAGTATGTTCATAGCTTCCCTAAATTTTGTGATTAAAGAAATGCAAGAAATTTTACAATTCTGACTTCTCTCCTTATTTTTCCTATCCAAGGTCGGACTCCCTCTCAATATTGTATAGCTCAGACTTTCTCAGCCTTAATACTACTGACATTTTGGGCTAGATAATATTTTTGGTGTAGGTGTGGGGCTATCCTATGCACTGCAGGGTATTTAGCAACATCCCTGACCTTTATGCATAGATACAGTAGCATTCTTACCCCCAGAGTTATGACAACCAAAATGTCTGCAAACATTGCCAAAAGTTTTCAGGAGGATGAAGGGGTTGCAAAATCACCTCTAGTTTAGAACCACTGATTTACCTTAAACCTACACTGTTTCTCTGGATTTTATTAACATTGATTTAATGTGTACTATCTGCTAATAAGCAAGCTAAATACCTATAGTATAAAATGATTAAGATATACTTCCTTTTACGTGATGTTTATATTTTAGCTGGAGAGCTTTTAACATAAATTAATTGGTTGGACACAGTCCACTAAGGACTGTAAGAGATGTTTGGGCCACAGGCTACAGGAGCAGCCTGGAGAAAGGCATCAGTTGTGCCAGAGTGTGATAGAAAGAGACACAGAGTGGGTCAGACAAGGTTTCTCAAGAAAAGATGAATTTAGGCTGGTCCTAGAAAAATGCGTCAAGGTTTATCAGGAAGAAAAAGTGAGGTTAATTTTTCTAAACAGAGTGTAGAGCATGAATGAATATTAATAAATGGATATTGATAGATACTTATTAAATAGTATTAAAATATTAAATTAATGTATTTTATTAATGAATCTAAATAATAATATAAATATTAAGTTATTAAATTATTTTTAAATTATTAAATAATAGGCAATTATTAAAAATAAAGGTGGATTGGACGCCTGGGTGGCTCAGTTGGTTAAACGACTGCCTTCGGCTCAGGTCATGATCCCAGGCTCCTGGGATCGAGTCCCACATCGGGCTCCCTGCTCAGCAGGGAGTCTGCTTCTCCCTCTGACCCTACCCCCTCTCATGCTCTATCTCATTCTCTCTCTCAAATAAATAAAATCTTTTAAATAAATAAATAAATAAATAAAGGTGGATAACTTTCTGAGAACTTTTTGAGAACCAGACTGAGTTCCAATACCAGCTGCTCCACTGAGTAGATGTGTGACCTGGAGCATCTTTCACCCCTCAGTCCTTCACACTACAGCCCCAAATATCTATACCCACTGGTTTCTCATTGTACCAGACTGTTGAAAGAAATTGAAGAAGGCATGACCCGCATCAGGCTCCCTGCTCA